GTGGGGTAAGGGTTCACGCGGTTCACAGAACTTTTTGAAAAAATCAGTGTAGTAAATGCATTTGTTTCGGAAACCATAAACCATAACCACTGTTTCCTCGCAGGTAACAATTATCCGGTGGGGAGACTAAAATAACGAGAGTCGTAGAGAAAAGGAACCCTCCAAAAAAATGTAATTACTGTACGACTCATTGCTATTTTCACAGATGGTTTCACTTACGTGATGTCCGCGTTGGCGTGCAGGCCGAACACCTCGGGCGTGTCCGTGAGCGGGAGGCTGGTGATGTAGTCCACGTAGCCGTTGAGGTTGCGGGTGATGGGCACGCGGTAGCCGCGGTAGAACTCGAAGCCCGGGCGCAGCAGCACGTCGCAGAACCACACCTGGGTGAAGGTGGTGAGCAGGCGCTTGTCGAAGTCGTCCGTCACCCGCCCGCCGTACTGCACCTCGCCCAGCATGTAGCACACCGTGGGCCACGAGATGCCCTGTGCGTGTGAGCAACGTTTCGGAAATCAGGGAAGTCCCAGTCAATAATCACACTATCCATTCCAGTTTTCGACATCGCTTGCTGCAAGAGTCTCACCTTCTTTGGATCCATGTCGTCCAGGTGATTTTGGATGAATTGCACGCTGGCGGCAAAGTCGGCCTGGTTGAATTCGTAGGGGACGTTCCAGCCGAGGGGCCCGAACTTGCGCCGCTCCTGCACGACGGTGTGCAGGAAGGCGACGGCGTACAGCAGGGGCGGCCATTGGTTTTGCGTCGAGTAGTCCAGCGTGTCCTGCGAACACAATAGGCAGGTCAGCAAGGTCGTGTACGCGACGAACAGCCCCTGCGCCGAGGTCTCCCCAACCCCTTATTCGCCTCACCTGCGTAATATTTTGGTAGGTGCGCTTAAGACTGGCCCGGATGCCCTGCGGCGGCTCGTTGGTGAACTTGATGGCCATCTGCAGCAGGCCGATGGGGAACTCCGTGTGCACCTCGGTGGTCATCCAGAGGCGGAACGACTCGTGCACCGTGTCCGTCTCCACCAGGGCGTCCATGGCCTCGCTGCAGAAGGGCAGCGACAGGTGGATGTTCTGCAGCAGCACCCAGCCGCCGCCCTGCATGCTGTCCGAGATGAGGCGGCGTGCGTGCAGCTCCTGGCCCTGGCCCATGGACACGGAGCGCAGCGGGATCTCCTTGGCCTTGGCCAGCGCCGTGATCTGCGGAGACGGGTCCGAGCCGATGGAGAGGATGCAGATGAGCGGCGACCGCGGCTCGGACTCGCTCCACGTGGCCTCCAGGTCCAGGATGCGGCCCTCGCCGTACTCGGGGCCCAGGGACTCGCTGATGTAGCGCCGCGCCTGCGACAGCGTGCGGTCCGGGCTCCAGGACCGGATGAGCAGCAGCTTCCGGAACACGTCCAGGCTCTTCTGGTAGCCGCAGGGGATGTCCTCCTCCTCCGGCCGCTCCTTCTCGTACCACGCCCGCCACTCGCGCTCGTTCTGCTCGATGCGCGTGAGCACGTCCCCGAACACGGACAGCTTGCTGATCTCGACCAGGTTGAGCCACGTGATGTCCAGGATCCAGCGGAAGGGCTTGGGCTGCACGGCGTTCAGGTCGAGCGAGGCGCCCCCCTTGATGAAGGCCATGAACTCGGCGTGGCTGATGCCCCCCTTGTGGCAGTCGATCTTCATGGCCAGCATGAGCGTGAACAGCACCTTGTGCCGCTCGTACAGGCTGCGCAGGGTGAAGGCCCACACCTGGTGCGTGAGGTAGCGCAGGATGATCTCGATGCGCTCGTCGGTGATGGCGCTCTTGGTCGACTTGGTGATGGAGTTGTCGAAAATGATGAGGAACTGTTTGAGCGAGTTTTGATACATGCTGTTCACGTTGCTCATCTCCACAATCAGGAAGTAGAGGATGGAGCCGCGGGCCGCCACGGCGCGGAACTCCTCCCGCGCCACCGTGATCTTGCGCTCCGTCTGGCCGGACACCTTGAGCTTGGCGTTCACCTCCTCCGCGGTGAGCTTGGTCTCCTGCAGCACCTGGATGAGGGCCTCGTCGTCCACCAGTGAGCCCTCTGACGAGGTGAGGCGGCACAGCAGGTTGGTCTCGAGCTCCTTCATGCTGCGCTGGTTCTGCATCACAGACTCGAACAGAGCGACGCGCTCCGCCTCCAAGTCGCACTTCTCCATGAGGATGACGCGTCCCAGCAGCTGGTCCTCCAGGCCCTGCATGGTGACGGTGAAGTCGATGATGGAAGTCTTGGCGCTGATCTCGGGCGAGTAGGCTGGGTTGGGTAACTTGGTGGTGATGTAGAGCATGAAACCGGGCATCACGTCGCACTCCTTGTCACCCACCACCACCTTCTCGATGGAGCCAGACTTGATAAAGTTCTTCTCCAGGACGTTGTCGATGACAGGGTCCAGCTCCTCCCCGACGTCCTCTATGAGCAGGGGCCGCCCAAGGGAGAGCGAGTCCTCGAGGTGCGTGCGGAAGTACTTGTGGTTGAGCGACGTGATCTGGAGTTCGTTGGACGTCTCCTTGTTCTTGATCCACATCTTGCCCTGGTTCTGCGGGTCGACGAGCAGCGGGTACGAACTGGACTTCGTGACAATGAGCGCGTTCTGCACGGACAGCTCGTCGTTGGGGAGTCCCTGCAGCGTCCACTCGGACACCTCGGCGCTGTCGACCAGCATGTTGGTGATGTTGAGGTCCTTGGTGAAGGGGATGACCCTGGTCTTGAGGATGCGCATCCACGTGTTGACGAGGTTGGCCCGGAACTCCTGGTTGTAGGGGCCGGCGTACGAGAGGAAGCCCGTGGCCAGCAGGACGTCCCCGACGAGGCGGCCGAGCTGCGCCTTGAACTCTTTGCTCTGCGCCGTCCAGCGCACCTTCTCTCCGCCCAGGCCGTTGATGAGCGCCGTGGCGGCCGTCATCTTCCTGAGGCACACGTTGGCCGCGTCCGTGAGGCGCTGCTTCTCGCTCACGGCCGCGTCGTACTGGTCCTTGACCTCCTGCAGCGCGCGCTCCCGGTCGCTCAGCTGGCTCTCGGCGCCGGCCAGGTCCTCCATGGCCACCTTGAGGCGCGCCTCCTGCAGCGTGAGGTTTGCCTTGAGCGGCAGCACCTCCTTGTTGACCGAGTGGAAGAAGGACATGGCCTTGGTCCAGGACAGCAGCCCGGCCACGTCGCCGCACACGCGCTTGGCCGTGTCCATGTTGTAGTCGTCCATCTCGAAGTAGGGCTGCAGCAACTCCACCATCTCGTTGTTGATGATGTCCTGGAGCAAGATATTTATGTTAGCGCTGCTTGATAAGACAGGTTGATCCAGTAGGCAGCCTTTCGGTAGGAACGGCGCGCACTTCGAATAAGTGTTCAAAAATCAGTAAAAATAAATCATTGAAAAGGTGTGTTAATCGCCGCATGGCCCCTGCGGCCCGAGCGGGTATGCAATCCCGCAGCACTACGGTGTGTGCACCAGCCCGTGAGCGCGTCATCGCTCGCTACTACTCACCTTGGGGTAGTTCTGCAGCTGCAACAGGAAGGTGGTGCTGGCCATCATCTTGAGCGACTCGGCCCAGGACGGCTTCGGGCAGGAGGCCGCCGTGTCGCCGATGACGGCGTGCAGCTTCCTCTGGAAGAGGATGAGCACGCAGTCCATGATGCGCATGATGAGGTGCGGCGGCCGGCCCAGCTTGCGCACCGTGGCGATGTGCGCCGGCTTGATGGTGTTGAGAGCGTTCTCGGCCTCCTCCAGGGCGGGCTTGGCCGCCTCCAGCTTCTGCTCCGCAAACACTTTCTCCTTGGCGATGTACGACACGAGCGCCTCCGCCTTCTCCTTGACCTTCATCACCTGGTTCTTGACTGTCTCGGCCTGCATCGCGCGTTCCGTCACCTCGATGAGAACCTGTCGAACAGAAGAACACTAAGCACCCCCAGCACCAGAGAAGGGGAGGATTGGTAGGGGTTTGGAGGGGCGGGGCTTACCCTCTCGGCCTTCTCCGAGGCGTGCTGCAGCTCCTGCTCCATCTCGGCCAGGTCCTGCTTGAGGCTCTCCACCGACAGGCTGGCCTCCTCCAGCTTAGCCAAGCCCGTGTCCATGCGGCGCGCGCCCTCGGCCAGCTGCCGCTGCTTGCCCTGGTAGATGGCCTTGTAGCCCGCGATGAAGTTGAGGTACGATTTGGGGGTGACGTGGGTGGCGCGCCGGAACCTCTGGAAGTACTCGGTGGAGGTGGCGGCCACCACGTCCTGGATGGAGCCCAGCGTCTCGACGAGCTCGGCCTTGACCTGGGCCGTGCAGGCGATCTCGAAGTCGTGCAGGAAGTGCTTGGCGACCTGCACCAGGGCGTCGCGCGGCCACGGCTGGAACCAGTCGATGGTGCAGCCGGACACGAGGGCCGGGAACCTGAGCGCGCGGTTGCGGAACTTCTCGCCGACGGGAGAGAAGCAGAAGACGACGTGTAGGTTCTGGAGCGTGCGCGCCAGGAAGAAGTCCATGACGAGCTCCTGGGTGAGCGTGCGCTTGGGGTTCTCCCGCTTGAGGGCGGGCGTGAGTTCAGAGATGATCTCGGCCTGCTCGTCGCGCGTGAACAGGTTCGAGATGACGCCCGAGGACAGGATGTTGTTGAGGTACTCCAGAAAGCCCTCCTCCTTGATGTCCAGGTCTGTAAAGATGAACGTCGTCCCCTTGCCCTGCAGAACGATATCAAATATTACATGGTACGTTCAGTTATCAGTCCATTATAACAGTCATGTGGGCAATTTCGCACCTGCACGCCACAGGAGCGATACAACAGCTTCAGGTCCTCCAGGAAGTTAGCCACGTTGTAGGAGCGGGTGAGCGTAATCTGGAACGTCTTGTAGCCCGCGATGAAGGAGGCCAGCTTGGTGAGCGACTGCTTCCCGGAGCCGCCCACCCCTACCAGCATGACGTTGCCGCGGGGGTGGCGGATCACCCGGGATATCTTGACGAGGTGGAGCATGGCGTCCGGGAAGAAGACGAGGTCCATGCCCGCGCCTCGCACCATCTCGTTGAACTGGGCCAGGAACATGTCGAGGCGCTCGTGCAGCTCGCGGAAGTCGGCCACCGGCTCGTACACCTTGGGCAGCTCCATGTCGGCGTCCTCGCCCTCCTCGCCCGTGGGCTCGGGCGCGTCCCTCATGAAGTCCACGAAGACCGGGTTGGGCTGCGCCATCTCGACGTAGTTGGGCCCGAGCGACTCCTCCAGCTGGCGCATGAGCTCCGAGTCGAACCACTCCTTGTCCGAGGTGAGCGTGAAGCGGTCCGAGAAGACCCGCGTCACCTCGTGCTTCCACAGGATGAGCAGGACGTGCTCCGCGTCGATGACGGTGGACAGCGTGCCCACCATGCCCTGCCAGATGCGGGACAGGTCACGCAGCGAGAACACGTAGTGGAACTTGGCGGGCGTGGGCAGCAGCTTGGCGCGGGTGGAGTGCCACAGCAGGCGCGTCAGCGGGATCAACTTCTTCACCAGGACCCGCACGTCGGGGCTATGGGGAGGGAAAGAAACAAGGGCGTCAGCGAGAGTGGCGCCCGAACCGAACAGTCCGCCAGGATACTGACCTGAAACCACGCTTCATGTTGTAGTGGCCCTCGCCAACGACGCGGAAGATCTTGTCGATGGACTCGTCGGAGGGCAGCGGGCAGTTGAACACGGCGAACTGGCGCTTGAGTCGGGAGGGGATGTCGTTGCGGCCGCCGCCGGGCTGCCCCATGGCCGCGACGAACTGCATGTCCACGATGGTGGTGAACTCGCCGGGCTTCTCCAGGCTGTAGAAGCCCTTCATGTCCATGGTCTGGCGGACGATCTCGTTGGTCACCTGGTCACCCCACTCGTTGATCTGCGGCAGGTTGACGTCGTCCACGAACACCATCATTTTCTTTCCGCCCGCCGGGCCGAACGTACTGCCCATGCGCTTCTCCACGTAGCTCTCGATGGTTTTCTGGAAATAAGTAATAGTTCGGTAAAAGACGGAGAGGATCAGTTTTATTTACAAGAAGGGCCAGAGTGGGGTTGTCACTGTCACCTGGAACTGGTAGGGGCTCGTGGCGGACGAGAAGTTGAAGCTGCGGTTGAGGTAGACCTCGGGGTTGGCACTCTTCATGTAGCTCTTCATCATGACGGTCTTACCGGAGCCCTGCTCGCCGATGAGGAGCACGGCGCGCTCCTGGTGGGCGATGCAGTGGATCAGGTAGTTGATGCGCACGTTGTCCACGATGGGCACCATGATGCTGCCGAAGTCGGGCGTGCTCATCTCCGGGTACGAGTAGGTCGGCACCATGGTGCTCCAGTGGTCCCACTTGCCTGGAAGCAGAACACGTGACAGCTGACAACGCCAAGCTCGTTTTGTGACGTGGCGCGCGTCCCACTCTTCACCTACCGGTCTGGCTGACAACGAAGTCGAACACTGTGGCCTCCGGGTGGTACCGGGAGGCGGGCATGTCCAGCTGGGGGAAGTTCTGCCGCAGGTACTGGTCGTACTTCTTACGGTCGCCCAGCTCGAGCAGCGCGCCCATCCCCCAGGCCAGGGCGAACACGTAGAGGCGCGCCAGGTGCTCGGGGGTGAGGTGCCGCATGGGGTCGTCCCGGTCCACGTCCTCGACCACGTCCTCGAGCACGGGGTCCCGAGGCTCGTCCTCCTCAACGGGTTCGGTGCCTTCCTCCGGGACCTCCTCCACGCTCTCCTCATACTGCGGCGGCACCAGCCCCTGGAGGATGGTCAGCATCTGCGGCAACGGGGAGGGGGAGGATGCGCTGTGAGAGCAGCCCGCGGGGACAAACCGACAACCTGCAGCTCCTGGAGTACTGACCTGGAGCACGACGTTGCACTGCAGGACCTTCATGGTGAGCACCACGTTCTGGGTGCCCCACGTGTACAGGTCGTCGAAAGAGTACTGGAACAGGTTCATGAACACCTCGTTCTCACGCGTGCTGCGCTTACGCAGCCACGCCTCCGCCACGGGCTTCCAGTCCAGCCCCGAGGAGCTCATGTACACCATGCCGTTACGCGAGACGGTGGCCGGGGAGGCGTTGTCGATGTTGTGGGGCTCGAAGATAATCTTGCAGGTCGGCGCCATTGAGAGTCGATCTCCGTTGGCCAGGGTAAGAGTCTTGTTGTCGTCGAGGACAGAGTTGAGGTTCTCTATCCAGATGCTGTCCACGGGTCCGTCCAGGACCATCCACACGTGATCTCCTACGAGCAAGAAGAAGGTCGTTGAACATTCAGAACCAGCAACTGGCTGTACTTTTCCCCTTTTCCCCCTCCCTCCCTCC